ACGGGTGAATCCACAAACGCAGCTCCAGGATGTGGCTGATGTGCTGTGCAGCAGGAAAAGTTCAGATTCCATTCATATGGAGTTACTCTTGAGACAATGTACATAGCAAGTGTGACGCATACTGTAACATGGGACTTTTTGAGATAGGCGGAAAGAGTTTAGTACTGAAAAAGGCGGGAAATTTTCAATTACTCGGGAAAAAAAGAATTTTATTTTTGGAAAAAGGGACGGGAAAGGTTTTGTCGTACCTATAGCGGAGAGTATAGCCATCCAAATTTCCCATGAGAGTGGGTTAAGGAACGAGAACAAATCGGGTTGATGATCATCAGGAACCTGGAAATTTGAGAGTTGAGGCCTCAAATTTGGCAAGAGTCTGCTCTTACCCTGTAGAGGATGCTAATTCCAAGAGATAGAAAAGGTTTTGTGAATTCAACCACCTCCGATCGCCGGAAATTCACCGTCAGTGGTGCAACTGCCATTTCAGCTTCCTAGAAATTTTCAAGAATTTTAAAAATGCACACACAATAATTGGAAAGTAAGCTCAAACCCCTCGAAGAATTTCGCCAATCATTCCGTCCCACGTACCATTGCCATAAACATCATTACCATATTTGCCATCGCGTACGGCGTGTATGGTGTAGGTAAAGCCTTGAAGACAAAAGATCAAAGAAATACAAAAATCGACAAAATGATGGTGTGATTGGCTGCACTATCCTACTCAACGCCTTCCTCACGATTTTGAAGGGAAACGGGGAAGGAGAGAGGGGAAGTACTGAAAAATAGTAAATTTTTACAGATTACAATGCAGAAGATCATTATTTTACTGCGCTTTCATTGGACAAAAATCTAGAATCTCTGGACTTAGATCCTTCTTGGCACTCACCTTCAAAAAGTTTTAGAGAACCGGGAATTTTCTTCATGACTTTCCCAGAAACTTTACCAGAAAAGTTTTTTCTTTCGCCAATACTGCATGTTATGTTTAAACAGATCTAGTTCTTGGTACACGCAAGAGCGCACTTATC